CTTTGGTGTGAGTGTTGTTTTCTTGAAGTATTGTTGTCTCTGAATGATTTACAAAGCGAGTTCTTCAACGATCACTGAACATACTCAGTGTATTGATCGCTGGAACTGAAAATACAGAAACTAAAATACATCGAAAGGAAAAAGAGATTATCATCAAATCACTGAGAGAGAGGATCAACACAAACCCCAAATGTACCTTTCTATCTTCCTGGATTCTGTTGAAACATAGTTTGAGAGTATTCAATAAATCTCTCAGTATATTCCCGAACTGTTCCATTTCCCTATTCTAACGTCAGGAAATCTTCTTCCATTTGTCTAACTGCCGTCTTAGGACATAACTGATTCTTGAATCGTTCCACAAATTCTGCCCAAGACAATGATTGTAAGACATCTGTTCTGGCCGATGATTCAATTTCCCACCAGAACAAAGCATTTGATTTCAATACAGAAATAGCAAATCGAACTTTATCTGTTTCCGGACACCAAATGGTGTTGAACACAGATTCCATTTCTTTGATCCAGCACATGGCTTTCACTGGATCGCTTTCTCCAGAAAATGTTGGTGGCTTGCATGCCAAAAACATTTTGATATCTCCCTCCTTGTTGTGAATAACTGGTATCGAGGGATGAACTTTTACTCTTTCTATTTCTACCCTGGCTGGTACTCCCATGATAGAAGTCAGAGTTTCCCGCAACTTCTCCATTTCTTCAACCAACATGTCCCTGGTTACGTATACAGGATGTGGCACTGATCTCTCTTGAACATTCCTAGAATGGGATTCTTTAGGTTTAGAACGAATTCCAGTTTGACCCCTTCCTTGAGATTGACTTCTTCCTCTGCCTCGTCCCCTTGGTCTTCTTCGACCTTTGATTCCAGATATGCCAGTCGAAAGATTAACAGGTGACTCTTCCCTTTCTTCAGAATCTGGACGAGCCGTTCTTTCAGATCTTCTAGTTCGGCTAGACATCTGCAGATTTTAGTGTAAATAATCACGTATTTACATTCCCAAATATAATGAAGTATTTAAGTTCAGATGTGTACCTGTAAATTCATAATTACACTGGCCAGATGTAATTAAAATTTACCTTACACACTGTTTGTAATAACTTAAAATATTATTTGAGGTTTTTGAGAGTCTTACTTAATTTTTTTTATATTTTTATTTTTGGCCATTAGAACTATTTATGGCCTAAAAACATAACTGCCATAGAGGAATAAATTGGTTTTAAAAGTGGGATTAATTGTTTTGTAACCGACCAATTAAATGGTAATTAATTGGTAAGGAGGTTACGAGGTGTATATATAGAGGCGATGAACCAGTGATTTGATTCCTTACTAGCAAAATAGACTTGAGGTCAAGATCTAGAAGGCAAGAGCACAAAGTCGAGACTCAAGAGCTATGTGTGCGTGACGTTCATCAGACGAACGATTGAAGTTGTCAATCACTGTGAGTTTACGTGATGTTTTTTTAAGGGTTGCATATATGTTTCTGTTAAATTGCAAGCTTGCTGTGTTTTATGTTTATGGTTTTCTGCGTGGATGTGCTTTGTGATAAAATGTTGTGTGGGAAGTGAGGAGGACTGAACTAAGGATTTAATCCTAAAACAACCACGCTGTGTGAAGCTTGTTAAGCCGTAAGAGCGGACATGCTGTGTGAAGTCCGCCAGGAAAGCCGTAAGAGCGAACAATGCTATGTGAAGTTCGCCAGGCAATGCTGTGTGATATAGTCCTTTCCCTCTTACTTTTGTGTTTTATGAACTGTGCGAAAACCGTTTACTCACTAGGCTTTAGGCTCACCAAACTCGTGTTTTCAAAATAAATGCAACCAGGTCACTACTCGTATGGAGATAGTAGCAAGGGTAAAGAGAAGGCGTAGAGCCTGACTGTGTGTGAAGAAGATAGGCTGGAAATGAAGTTTAGTCATGACTTGTCTTGACGAAGATTAGTCAGTTGTGGGTTTAGGCAATTGCTGTATGATCAGAAAAAAAATTTAGACTTCCGCTGTGATTTATGTTTAAACTGTTTCATTCCAGTATTTTATGTAAGTTTTCAATTTTTAAGGTTGAATTTTATTTATGATTTGAGGTTAAGATAAAGATCGGATTTTGGGTCTTTACAGGTGGTATTAGAGCCATAGTTCTAAGAGAAATAAGTTATGATTTTAGCCTAAACTTAGACAGAATTAAGGTTGAAAAAAAATTGAAACAGAAATGATGAATTTGGACTGTTATTCTTGCTGTTAGTGTGTTTGCTATTAAGTGATGACTGTGTTGAGGTTAATAGATTTATCGCTGTGAGTTATGGGAAAATGGTTTATACCAAGCGCACTAGAAGTATTGGAAGACGAAGACGTAGAGAAGTTAGTCTAGGACCAAGAAGAGGATGAGGAGAAAATAGTTGGCATATGAACTATGTGTGGCTAGGTTTTATTGCAATAAGTTGGTAGCCTAGAGCTGGGATATCTCAGTGTTTTCTTTTATTCAGTTTAAGCTTGTTAAATATGAGCTGATTGACATGATTATGGAATGAAATAAACTTTTGTTGGTGTTTAAATCTTGTTGAATGGTTGTGGAATGCTAAGTTGTGTATAAGAATAGTTATTTATAATCTGTTATACGCATATAGTTAAGAAAGAAGGAATGTCTCAACGATCAAGAAGGACTCTATCGGTCGCTCCCGATGCAGAGGAAATACCTTTGGTCGGGGCTACCCCTGTTGTACCAGGGGTGATACCAGCCTCTGTTGCGGCCACGAGGACCGCGATCACTAGAGGCAGATGACGAGGCAGAGGACGAGGCAGAGGAACATCGGAAACAAGACAAAGCGATCAAGAGCCTTAGGTACAAGAGAGCTCTGCATCGGGCAGAGGCAGAGGCCGAGGCAGAGGCAGAGGTCGCACACGAGCAGCGACCACCACCCCTGTGGACCTCATTGCTCAAGAGGTGTCCAGAGCTCTGCAAGCTATTTTGCCTGTTGTTATAGCACAAGTAAGAGAAGCAGAGCAGAGGAATGAAGAGGCTAGGGAAGCTAGTGTTGTAAGAGAAGTGGTTAGCAACATCAACCATAGAGAGGACCATAGAGAAAGGTCAAGAGCTAATAGTCCTATCAACACTAGCACGGGACAAAGGGGTTGTAGCTACAAAACTTTCTTAGCTTGCAAACCCCAACTATTTCAGGGTGAGCCAAACCCAGTTACGGCCCTGAGATGGATAAAGGAGACAGAGATGGTCTTCAAAGTTAGCAAATGTGCAGAGGAAGACAAGGTGACTTATGCTGCTTCCATGATGAAGTCTGAAGCCCTATTCTGGTGGGAAATAATTACCAACCTAAGGGGCGAAGAGACTGTAGCAAGGATGTCATG